AATTAGCTGGATGTGGCGGCATGTGCCTGTAATCGCAGCTCAGGAGGCTGAGGCAGGAGAATTACTGGAACCAGGGAGTTGGAGGTTGCAGTGAGCCAAGATCCCATTGTACGCCAGCCTGGAGACAGAGTGAGACTCCATCTCCCTCCCCCTGCAAAAGAAAAAAGAAAAAAAGATACTCGAGAGAGTCATGCAGTGGTGTCAAAGCTTCTGAGATGATTGGGCTGTTGGATTCTTTGTTTGGAGTTCTGATCTCATGAAGCCAGTGCTTCTCACTAGACAGCTGCAGTCACTCCTCCCTGGTGTCCCCAACTCACCCTTCTGTTGTAACACAGTGGCCAGAGGATCCCTTCAAGAAGACCAACTCAGAACCTGCACTCCTGTGCTCAACGTCAGAGTCAGCCTGAGTCCTGGCAGGGCCCTACTTGTCCTCTCTGACTCAGCCGCCTGCTGCCTCTCTCCTGGCACGCTGCCAGCCCCAGTGGGCTCTTGACCCTTGGATCATTCCAGCATCACCTCACCGCAGGGCTCTCTGCTTCGATTGGTCCTGCTGTGCCCCTTTCCCAGAAGTCTTCGAGGCTTATTCTCTTACCTCTCTCAGTCTCGGCCTCACCTTCTCAGTGAGCCCTGTCTATCCACATCCACCTCCTTCTGGCTTGCCTCAGACCCCTTACGTGTAGCAGTTAGCATCTTCTAACAATGTTAGCTATTTGTTAGGTTTAGTGTTTATCTCTCTAGACTAGAATGCAAGGGTTTTATTTTGTTTATTGATGTATCCCAGTGTCTTCCTGACAGATAGGTGCTTCATAAATGTCTCTGGTATAAAAGAATATATCACATATGGTGGTTATCACTGCAGACTATCATGGCTCTTACTATGCACTCACCTAACACTTAAGTTTACTCATTAATTCCTGTGAGCCCTACACCTGTCCTACCCCTAGGTACTGTTATCCCATTTTGCAAAGGAAGAAACTGAGGCACAAAAAGGCTTAAGTAATTTATCCCCAGGATTACTGAACTAAAAAGTGGTAGAACCAGGATTTGAACCCAGGCAGTCTGGCTTCAGAATCCAAACTTAAGAGGAACTACTTTCTATTTGGCATTGTTATTTCATTTAAAAAGAGAAACAAGAAGGAAATAATTAAAAACACCCAGCTGTTTGTTTTGTTTTGTTTGTTTGTTTTAAGAGACAGGGTCTTGCTCTGTCACCGAGGCTGGAGTGCAGTGGAACAATAATAGCTCATGGCAGCCTCAAACACTGGGCTCAAGTGATCCTCCTGTCTCAGCCTCCCAAGTAGCTAGGACTACAGACAAGTGCCCTCACACCCTGCTAACTTTTTATTTTTATTTATAAAGATGGGGTCTTGCTGTGTTGGCGAGGCCATTTCAGAGATCTTTAAGGCTGTCCCCTCCTCAAAGGCACATCACATTTGCCCTCTAGGAGGGCAAAATGGCTTTGGTAGATGAGTACTGGGTACTCATCTTGTACAGGCTTGCTGCCCAGAGCTGCCTTGGACCTCTGCTCCCCACATCTGGTACATTGCTTCTCAGTCACCCAGCTGTGACTCAGGTGGGCCCAGTGGTGGCTCAGGGCATGGCTCCAGAAGGTACAAATCATAAACCTTGGTGGCATCCACGTGATGCTAATTTTCAGGCAAGAAGACTGCTAGAGCTGTGGAACAGCCTTCACCTAGATTTCAAAAGCTGTCATGGACAGCCTGGGAGCCCAGGCAGAGACCTGTCACAGGAGCAGAACAACTGCAGAGAGCCTGTACTCGGGCAATGGCAAGCAGAAATTTGGGATTGAACCTGCTGCAGAGAAATCTCAACAGGGCAGGCCTAGTGGAGTTGTGGGAGTGGTCTGAGAGCCTTCAACTGTGGAGCTGCCAGCTTGCACCATCAGCCTGGGAGAGCTGTGGGCAGGAGACTCCAGCCCCTGGCAGCTGAACTCCAGTGCCTATGAAAGTAGCCAGTTGCCAGGCAGAGAACTCTGACACATCTGTCACTTCCTCGCAGTGATTTGGCTATTCTCTCAGTACAACAGTTTACACAGTACTGCCACACAAAGTTGATTTGTAAATCTACTATTGAACAAAATGCCTTCATAGAAATTAAACTGAATAGCAAAGCCATGAGGTGGGCCTGCCTGAGGACCTTGGGACCCAGTCCTTTACCAGTGTGCCCAGATGGTTGGGACATGGAGTCAAAGGAGATTCTCTGTAGAGGCTTAGTATTTAATATTTTCTGCCATGTTGGGTCTTGGACTTACCTGGAGCCTCTTGCCTCTTCTTGCCTATTTCTCCCTTTTGGAAAGAAAATTTTTTGTGTGTGTACCTGTCCCACCATTGTATTTTGGATACACATAACTTGTTAATTTCCATGCTCAGGGCTGGAGAGGAGTTGATCTTGGGGTGAATTGTGCCTTGAGTCTCACCCATATCTGATTCAGACGAGACTAAGTTGATGCTGAAATGAGTTAAGACAATTGGACTATTGGAGGTATTGGGATGGAATGAATGTTTTTTGCATTATAGAAGGACAGGAATTGTGGGAGCTGGGGTGGAATGCTGTGGTTTGCATATGTCCTCCAAAGTTCATGTGTTGGAAACTCAGTCCACCATGCAGCAGCATTGGGAGGTAGAGCTTTCTAAGGGGTGATAAGGTCACCAGGCTCTGCCCTTGCAAGTGGATGAGTGGATAAGTGCCATCGTGGCAGGAATGACTCCATATCCTCATGTGTGCGTATGATGGTGCAGCACAAAGGCCTCTCCAGATGCAGCCTCTCAACTTGAGACTCTCAGCCTCCAGAACTGTGCAAAATGATCTCTGTTCTTTATAAATTGCTCCAGTTCAGATATTTTGTTAAAGCAGCACAGAATGGTTTCACAAGGGACTTTACGGCTTGAAAAGTGCAGAGAGGAGATTGGAGAATAAAACAGCATTGAGGCAGCGTGCTGGTGTTGGTTAGCTGATCTTTTCGCATGAGATACAGGAGGTTGGGGGAATGGTATCTTAGAAGCCGAGATCGTAGAGGTAGGCTGGGGCCAGATTATGGGGACTTTGAAGTGATATTGGGATTCTATTCCAAGTACTTAAAGTCTGCACAACAGCTCCTTGAAATAGGTGTCAATGTTGGCTCCATTTTACAAATGAGAAAACTGAGACAAAGAGAGGTTGTATAATTTGCCAGAGATGACACATATAGTAAAAATGGAGCTGAGACTCAAGCCCAGGCAGGTGATCTCGTGAGCTTTTCTACTTTACTGTACGCTTTCACCATACAGCTGGTATGAATTGTTTGTATCCTTAGTGCAGAATGTTTTTCCCATGTAGATATTTAATTCTCTGAGTAGTGTAACACTGTGGTCAGTGTATGATCTGAGTTTTGTTTTGTCATCCAAAACTGTTAGTAAATCTCCTGGTGCCTAATTTCCCTTGTCTGTACAGTGGATTAGTAGTATCTACCTTGGAGGTTGTTAAGAGTACAAATTAACACTTGCAGCAAAGTGGATGCATATATGTAATTAATACTTTGTGGTATATAGTGCTATATAAAGTGTTTACTACCGTTATCATAATCATTATTATTGTGATTTCAGTACCTGAATTTAAGTATATTCAGAAGTGTTCCTGTTACCTTTATGTTTAAGTATAATTCCTAAACTTTTTATGATAAAATTTAATAATATTTTAATGATAAAACTTATTTATTTATTTATTTATTTAGACATGGAGTCGTGCTCTGTCTTCCAGGCTGGAGTGCAGTGGCACAATCTCTGCTCACTGCTACCTCTGACTCTTGGGTCAGGCAATTCTCCTGCCTCAGCCTCTGAGTAGCTGGGATTATAGGCGCCTGCCACCACGCCCAGCTAATTTTTTTTTGTATTCTTAGTAGAGACAAGGTTTCACCGTCTTGGCCAGGCTGGTCTTGAAATCCTGACCTCGTGATCCACCCACCTCACCCTCTGAAAGTGCCGGGATTACAGGTGTGAGCCACTGTGCCCAGCCAAAATATTGTTATTTAAAAAAAAAAAAAAAAAAAAAAACATTAATCAGACACTGGTTATAACTTGCAGGTTAAACAGCAGAATCTCTCTTGCAGAGGAATTAAAAGAATTACTTTGTTTTTCAGATAGCATGTCAGAAACATAATAAAAAAGAATTATTTCTACTAAGAGCAAAACATTACAGATGTCAACATAAGACATAAGGGTCTTGTCTTATGTTTCTTATTATGACATCTGTACCCATCATGTTAGTCCAGAGTCAGGGCCCAGACCACATAGTGCAGTAGCAATTTGTTTAGTTGTAGACACCTGTTTTTCACCAGATGGCAGACTGTATGTTCCTGTATCAGGTGCTTTCAAGAGACTTTCTAGTTTTGGTACCAGAGCTTGAGATCTATTTTCCTTTTTTCTTTTTATCCTTTCCATTTTCTTAATTGGAGTGCTCAGACATCTGCTGAAGTGGAGAGAATAATATAATGAACCGAACGTAGCATCATGAGCTTGAACAATTACCCATCCCCACATTAGACTGCTGTTTGTTTTTGTTTTTTTGATATGGAGTCTCACTCTTGTCGCCCAGGCTGGAGTGCAGTGGTGCGATCTCGGCTCCCTGCGATCTCTGCCTCCCAGGTTCAAGTGATCCTCTTGCCTCAGCCTCCCAAGTAGTTGAAACTACAGGCATGCACCCCTATGCCTGGCTAATTTTTTATATTTTTAGTAGAGGCAGGGTTTCACCGTGTTGGCCAGGCTAGTCTTGAACTCCTGACCTCTGGTGGTCCACCTGCCTTGGCCTCACAAAGTCTTGGGATTACAGGCATATGCTATCATGTCTGGCATGGACTACTGTTTTTAAGTCTTTTCCTCCCCCTATGCACACAACTGTTTTAACTTTTTTATGTGTGTGTATATGTTTACTATATGTGCGAGGTTATTTTAAAGCAAATTGTAGATAATGTATCACTTTATCCCAAATACTTCAGCATGTATCTCTGACATCATTCCATTTTCACACCTGACACACTTTATCTACAGATGTTTTTTAAATTGCCTTTTTTTGGGGGTGTCTCCTTTGTTTTTTTCAGTTTTTAATTGCTGTTTATTTCAGACATCATTTCTTAAAGCTAGAAAATTAGATACAACTGTAAGTACCTAGATATTTTAAGGAACAAAATTCTGATACTGTTTTCCTTTGGGGGAATTTGTGAACTATTTAGTTACCACCATCCCATGAAATGTAATTTGGGAAATACTATGAAACACTATAGAAAAATCAGAAGCTGAAATCTTTCTGACTGGAATAATATTTTAAGTTACATTTTATTGAGTTTATGAGAATAAGAAAAAATACAATGCAGCATTCTTCTGTTACTGTTCTGAGTGTTTGGATTCACGGCCCTGTTTGGAATTGAGCACATGGAGTGTGCTAGTTGTCAGGTCAGGCTCTGTTGTCATTAGGATTTAGGTTTGAGTGGCAGGAACATGTGACCACTGTGCAAGGGGTTATTTTTGGTCTCTGGGTGTTGGCTTCTCCTCAGAAACCATAGCAAGTTAGTGTCAGGTACGTCTGTGGAGGCTTGGGATTGGCACCCGTGTTGTGTGCTTGTGAGCTCTCAAACATGGGCTGTTGCTTCAGCAAAGGACTAAGTAGTGACAATGACAGTGAAAAAATTGGCCTGTTACAAAAATCTGTGGAGGAGAAGGAACCAGAAAACAAGATAAGTAAAACTTTATCTTCATTCTTCGGTACCTCTGAAGGTGAGCCGCTTCACGGTGTTGGCGTTGGTGCCAACAGTGCAGCTGCTGGCCTTAGTGCGTGGACAAGTATTTTTGCTGAGTCTGAGCACAAACAGGGTCGTAGACCTATGCGGTTGTTGAACCCCATTTCCTCTCTTGCATATACATTCTTAACAAGGTATGAAAACTTGGATGTAAGTCACAAGAATTCAGATACTGTCGTTAATGAGCAGAATTCTGAGGGATCCTGTGATCCACTGTGTGTGGGTAGTGGCAGCCGAGGCTGTTATGAAGAGGAACTTTTCTCATGTGTGCCAGTGTCTTCTGACCGAGGACTGCAGGAGGAAACCTTTGTGAGTGGCCATCTGCACTGTTACCCAGCTATTTGTAAAAACTCTTTAGTAGAGAAGGAAATGGTCAGCATTCACCCCAGTAGCAGTGATGAGAATAAGTCTTTAGACATACCCAATAAGGAGAAGAAAGATGGAAACCCTGTTTGTGTTGGTCATCAGCAATGTCAGGGTTTAAGAAAGTGTGAGTTTCACAGCATTTGTGTTGCAGACTCTGCCTTCCCGAGTGTAGGAGAGGAGCTGGGCGCCTGGGCAGGCAGAGTAACTGCAAGAGGAGAGTGTCGCTCTGCTGTGCCTTCAGCCCTGCGTTCCGTGTTAGGGGCTGGCGAGCCAGAGCCACCGCAGGAAGAGCTCTTGTCCCAGGACGCACTGGGTCCAGGTGAAAGGACAGGAAAATGCAGTGGGAAAACCCAGCCTTGCCCTGAACTTGTGGCATTCAGCCATGCACCTTGTGAAGCAAATGCTGATAACACACAGGTCGAGTCTTTACAGGCAGAAGCTTGCACTGAATTCCCTAAAAATTACACAGAAAGTAGTGCACTACATAATGTTGACCTACTCCCTGAAGTAAATAATAACATGGACAGTGACTCACTGAGATGTGCGTGTGTCCTTCTGGAAGAAACTGAGAGCCGTAACTCAGGAGTAGGAAGTGAGATGGATCATTCACCTGTTAGCTTCCTTACCGACACTGCGTGTGTTGCAGGGAGTAATGACCAGGAGGCTGGTGTCAACCAGAATTTACATTCTAAAAAGGAGGGAGAAAATAACTCTATCAAACTACTAAGAGACAATGATTGTTTCTACCTGGATGTTAGCAAATCAGATAGCATCCTTCCCCTTGATCTAGATAGCATTGATTTAAGTCCCAAGAGGCCTGTCACTGCAGTGAGATTTGGAAGTGGGTGTCTCTCAGGTCACACTAATTCAAGAGAAGCACCCCCAAGCCAGCTTGATGACTGCTGGGAGCTGCAATCTGTCCCTGGGCCAGTGAGGAAGGTGCAGCGCAGAGGAGACTGTGGCCTGGAGGCCAGAAGTCCCTTGCTGGCAGACAGAAGAGAGCTGTCTCTGCAATCTGAAAATAGTGTCTTTTACCAAGAAGGGGACAGAATTGGCGTTTTGGGGGCTAAGGGTCATGGTATAAGGGCTTTTGAGTTGAAATCTTGGTGTCAAGCAGATGAGGCTTCGACACAGTCTTGTGACCTAACTTGTGTGGAGCATGTGGTGGACATGGAGGGGACAGTGCAGAGGACAGACAACTCGAAGCTTAGCGTGACACAAGGAGTGCCCCCCAATGGCAAGTCTCACTGTCACTCGAGGTCTCTTCAGAGTAACTGTGTTTCCTCCGCATTGATTTTCACCTGCACAGAGGAAGAAGAGAGGGAAATAAGCCCAAGTGACAAAACAGAGGGTGAAATATGTGTGAAGAGTTTAGTCAGTGTGTCAGGAGACCAGCTGAGTGACCCCCAAATGTTAGAAAGTGATGAAAAAGAATCACAGAAAGCAGAGTATAGAGAGACCAGTGAAGATGACACAGAGACTGTCAAGTCAGATTCTCAAACAACCTGTGAGTGGGAAACAGGTGCACAAAGATGTGAGGCAGTGCCAAATCAAGATGTACTCTCCTGCATTAGTTTTAGTACAACAGAGAACCCTGATTTTGAGACTGATCAAATAGAAAAAAATTATGAAACACACCGAGCATATGCCGGCAAATACAATGGTCTTAATGTGTTACCACCTTTAAGTCAAAGTTTTAATCCAGTTATACAGAAGTCAGAAATTACAGTAGAGAAATCTGTTAGTAGTGGTGAAAGCCGAAAATGGAAGGGAATTTATTCTGAATCAATTGAAGAAGCTTCTGTTGTCTTTGGTACTAATAAATCAGGGTTGAGTAAACCAAAACTAACATGTAAAGAAGAGGAAGAGAGACTTTATTTGGAGAAAGAAAGTATTGACCCCAAAATTATGGACTGCCTGGGTCCATGCGGGACAAATGAATGTGCATACCGTTTCGAAGAAGGAAATGCCAAGTCCACTCTTAAACAATCTACTTTAAATGGTGAAATGGGTTTTATGGGAAAAGCTAAGGTGATTTTTGAAAAAATAGAGTCACGTGACACTTCCGATGGGCAATTCTTTTTGGTTGGTGTTGATCCCACCCTAGTGGACAGATACACAGCTCTCCCCTGTGATGCAGCCCAGGGGATTCCTGCTGTCCCCATGGACAGCAAGGATGCTATCGTATCAAGTAGTGACCACATTTTATCACTCACAAAAGGTGTCCTAAATAGATCAGAACATCCCTCAAAAATGGATTGGCAGAGTTTCCCAGAAGGAGTCTCCCGTTTTTTGGGTGAATTTTCCTGTTACCCAATGGGAGGGCTAGCAAATCCAGTATTTTCTGAAAGACTGGCCCATGGTTGTGGTGGATATCAAGTGGGCTATCTCTGGACTGATACAGTCACAAAAGATGTACTAGAAGTTGAAAAAATATTTAGTGAGGATCTATACCATCAGCCACAGGACTTGGAAATTGCTTCGTTTTCAGAAAACACTCCTCAGCTACCGGTGTCAGAGGACGGTGTTATTTGGGGATGGCATGATAGAGATGGACAGTTCGTAAGTATGATTTATCTGTGTTTACTGTTGTGCTATGGTATGCTAGGCTATACATTTTAATTCTTTTTATTTACTTATTTTTTGAGACGGAGTCTCTCTCTGTCACGCAGACTGGAGTGGCATGATCTTGGCTCACTGCAACCTCTGCCTCCTGGGTTCAGGTGATACCGGGTTCAAGTAATTCTCGTGCCACAGCCTCCCAAGGAGTTGGGATTACAGGCGTGTACTACTACACCCAGCTAATTTTTGTATTTTTAATAGAGATGGGATTTTGCCATGTTGGCCAGGCTGGTTCTGAACTCCTGACCTCAGGAGATCCACTCACCTCGGCCTCCCAAGGTGCTGGGATTACAGGCATGAGCTACCGGGCCTGGCCCATTTTAATTGTTTTTAGCTTAAAACTAATACAGATTTATTCTAAACACTGGGCAGTTGTTTGAATGCTTACATATGGCTGTGAATTGCTATACCATTAATGATTTCCAGATTGGAAAATATGAATTTCTTGTTTGGTATATTTAAGCCAGAGTTTGGGTACAAACTCTTGTTAGCACTAAGGCATGCCCTGCTAGTTGTCCTGCACAGCTCTGTGTTGACTTTTTTCTGTCTGAATTTTGCCAGCTGTTCTGTCCTGGCCGCAGTGTGGATCAGAGACCTTTGAGGGCATCTTATCGCGTGGGCAGTGTAGTTGATTCAGTAAGCATGTGAGCCCATTGAAGGTATAAGTCACACTGCAGAAGACAAACTTAGATAAAAATCGGTGCTTCCTGATATCCTTGTCTGTATCTGAGGCAGATAGAATTTCCTGATTTTAACTGGCTATAAAATGTTGGTTCTGTCTTCTGGGAGTTAGAATCACCGTGGACTCTTTTAGAACCCTGAGATGGGGCTGCCCCTCTGGTTTGGAAGAATCTTAGCAAATGATTCTATGGGTAGCTAGTTTGATCATCTTTCCAGAAATTCTGTAATAAATGCCACCATCATTCAACAACAGGAAATTAGTTTTGCTCACAAAACAGACATTTATCAAAACAGTGTGATTAGAAGCATGTACTCAGAGTACCAAGATCTCATTATTCAACTGATGGTTTATTAGTAATTTTTTTGGGCAGTGAAGCAAGAAAAAGTATTGATTGTTAAGGAGATAGAGATGACTCAAGTGTCAACACTTCTGTATGGGAATAAACAAGCAGAAATCCCATTCTACAGTGTAAGGAATGATCCGTCAACCTCTTTTATTTCCATGCCCACATTGGGAGTTTTTCCAGAAAGAGTTATGTTCAAATTCATGAGTTTTGCTTCTTAAATAGTTGTGGAGGCACAGCAGTATAAAACTAGATCTTTAAGATAATCTGCAGTTAATCTTTTACAGAAGTGACGTAATTTGCAGTTGTCTACCAGTGTCACTGCCTAGCCATCAACACAGAGCATGAACAATGCCTAAGTGAGAGGTTGCTTCCAGTTTTCAGTTAGCTTTTCCATTATGAGGTATTCCCAAAACAGTATTCTACTGTTGGCATTACCACATTTAACAGTGGTGCTTTGCCTTTCAGAACTTCAATTTTCAAAGTGCTGTTACAGGTGTTTTTTTTAATACTAAATCTTAGTATAGCAGCTGTTACTCCATTTCCTAAATAAAGAACTGGAGGGAGAGCCTTGTATGGTTCTGAAGTCAGCAAATTGCCTTGAGTTTCTGAGGTTTTTCGTGCAACTTGAGGAGAGGTTTGTGCTTGCATGGCATGTGTCTTTCCCTAGTCTCTCACCTCCTTTCTATTGCCTCACCTGCTACTACCCCTTTGCTGGCATCAGTCACTCCAGTTCCTACTCAGTAACTTGTCAGAGAGACCCTGTCTCATGTCCATAACGTACATACTTACTAATTGGTATGTTATTTTTCAAAGTGGAGCATAGTGTTTTGCCCGGGTGGGGTGGGGTAGAAGAATTTATTTAAAGCATCAGGACTCAGGGATGTTCACTTAGGAATGTGGCTGTTAAGGTCAGCTTGCCTCAGTTTTAATAACCATTGCTTAGCCATACGATTTTAATGGAAAATAAGACTTATAGCCAAGTAGACACACTGCAGTTCTTCTCGTTTGTTATTTTTTTAGGGTGGGGGGGGTGGGGGGGTGGAGTCTTGATCTGTTGCCCAGGCTGGCGTGTATTGGTGCCATCGTGGCTTACTGCAACCTCTGCCTCCTGTGTTTAAATAATTTTCCTGCTTCAGCCTCCCAAATAGCTAGGATTACAGGTGTGCGCCACCACATCCAGCTAATTTTTGTATTTTTAGTAGAGATGGGGTTTCACCATGATGGCCAGGCTTGTCTTGAATTTCTGACCTCAAGTGATCTGCCCGTCTTGGCCTCCCAGAGTGCTGGAATTACAGGCGTGCCTGCACCTGGCCGATGCTGGAGTTCTTGATGATCATTTAGAGTTCCATATGACTGCAAGAGGATTACCATATTTTATAGAAATAGTAGGAGATCCAGATCTTTGTTTAATACAAACTATTTCTCTTGTAAATTATAAGTTTAATGAACTCTTGATGAATGTTATATTTTGCTGAACACAATTACCATTGTTTTTATGGGCAAGTTACTTAACCTTTCTCTGCCTTGGTTTTTTCATTTGTGAAATGAGTCTAGTTAATAACCACCTCCAAGACTTGTTCTGATTCAGTACAGGTAAGCGCACAGAATGTGCTCAGTACCTGGTAAATCCTTGTATGTTACTAAGCCTCAAAAGACATCTTCATTCTTTCTTTCCTGGTCATATCTCTTCTGTCACAGAATTTATTGAACATTTGCTAACTGCATACACTTGATTTGGACTTCTTCACTAAGAGGTAGTCATCGTTTAAGGGTAGAGTCGTATTAATTTGTGGCATAAAACCTTGCAGAAGTTGTCAGATAGTGGAAAATTCCTGTTATTTATTAAACATTGATTCATTCATGATATATATATCCTGAGCACCTCCCTCCTGAATTCAGGACTGTGCTAGCTGTCAGCAATGCTGCAGTGACCAAAGTGCCCATGGTGACCACCACCCTGGAATGGAAGGAGCACAGACACTATTCTAGCCACAAGAGCTGCGGGTGCCCAGCAGCCTTGCTGCCACTGCTTTCAAAGTGCTGTTGGTCTGTATTAATAAACTACAAAATGTATTTTGGTACTATAGGGCAGTCAACTGCAAAACGTACTAATAATAGAGAAGGTTACTGTTAGTTTGTGTTGGGAATTTAAAGCATGTGTAGTATGTGCCTGAGCTGAGGGCAGCCAGCTAAGTGGACGGAATGGAACCAAGGCCGGAAAACTGCATTGTGTGGTGGTGGTGAAGAGACTGGGTCTCATTAGGAAAGGCCGTGTGTGGAAGAGTTAGGGTAGGAAACAGAATAGAGAAATGAATTTACGAAGGCAATAGAACAGGCAGAAAGGCGGAAGTGCTGCCAGAGGCAGTGTCGTGGGTGACTTGTGGCTGTCATCTGCACCCTCACACAGCTCCATGAGCTCCTGTCTGCTTCATTAACCATCACACCTGCCTGCTCAGCATCGTGCCTGTCACAGCCATGCTGGTGCAAGTGTCAAGGCACTTGTTGGAAGAGAGCAAGAAACACCACAGAACCAGAGGCCAAACGCAAAGTTTAGATGTGATGCAAGAGGGAAAATTGAAGAATTGGTGTTTGTTGATTATAACATTCTTGAAGGAACCCAATTCTCTGCCCTATCACCAGTACTTAACAAAAATGTAAAGAATTTGGGATAGGTCCTCATTTAAACATTAAGAAAGCCTAGCTTGTGTCAGAAAAATCAGAGGTTTAGGGAGTTTCCACATGGTGGGGGACTGTTGTAGGTTTATATAATGTGTCAGGAAGGACTACCAGTCCCGGGTCTCTGGTCAGGATGTTCTGGACAGACGGGAAGAGCACAAGTGCCATTGTGCCTAGAGACAGCAAGGAGGTCAGTGTGCCTGGAAGTGGATGAGGCCAGGGAGCAGTGAGCACAGGAGGGAGCTGTGGCCACAGTGGGAACTTTGTCTTATACTCCAAATGAGCCAAGCCGATGGGGGAGGGTTTTGGGCAGAGGGCTGCCCTGTTGTAGAGGGCTTCCCTGTTGTACAGGGCTTCCCTGTTGCAGAGGGCTGCCCTGTTGCAGAGGGCTGCCGTGTTGTACAGGGCTGCCCTGTTGCAGAGGGCTGCCCTGTTGTACAGGGCTGCCCTATTGTAGAGGGCTGCCCTGTTACACTAACTTAGCATGCCTGACTGCCATGATGGCTGATGAGCTCAGGATGTAACGAGCGCTAGCCATCAGGTTGATGGTGGGAGGTGGTACTGTCAGCATCCCCATTAGAGGGGAACCAGGAATTTTGTCTTCCAGGTGAGGTTGAGCCCAGGTTACATAGCTGTCCATGGCAGCTTTGGCTTCAGCCCCAGCGATCTGAGAGCCCATGTCCAGAACGCTGGACTGGCAGCCTCCTGGTCACCTGTGGATTCTCTTTCAAGGTGATACTGAAGCTCTATCGGGAATGGGAACAGATAGTTCTGTGAAAAATGTGAGATATTTTATCTTCTCTTTCAAAGGATGCTTGAGCTTTCTTATCCTATAGTACCCCTGACAGACCTATTAGAACACCGTTGTTCTTAGGAGCAATTTTCATTTTCTACACCTTTTGTTTGTGACTTTTTGAAGTTCTCTCTCTCTCTTTCTCCCTCCCTCCCTCTCTCTCTCTCTCTCTCTCTCTCTGGAGATGGAGTTTTCTCTGTCACCCAGGCTGGAGTGCAATGGTGTGATCTTGGCTCACTGCAACCCCCACCTCCTGGTTTCAAGTGATTCTTCCTGCCTCAGTAGCTGGGATTATAGGTGCACACTACCGCGCCTGTCTAATTCTGTGTTAGTAGAGATGGGGTTTCACCATGTTGGCCAGGCTGGTCTTGAACTTCTGACCTCAGGTGATTTGCCGGCCTTGGCCTCCCAAAGTACTGGAATTACAGGCGTTAACCACCATGTCTGGCTGACTTTTTGAAGCTTTCTAATTAGAATTGTGTTCATCTACATTGTATTCAAGTTTGTAAAACCGTGAATTGTGAGTTTATTAGGTAGAATAGGAAGTCACCAGCTCTTCCTCAGGTACACAGTTTGTGAAACACTGAATCTTTCTGACAGCAGGCCTGTCCTTCCCCATCTCTGCAAGTCTTGGTGTTGGGAGGAGGAACTTAAACCTTGTGGGTAATTTAAAGGAATTTTGACTGCATTTTTTTTTTTTTTTTAAATTCTGAATCTGATTTTACCCTGAAGGTGTGTGTAAACAGATTGGCTCAGCCTCTGGAGCCTAAATCAGATGTCTCTTAACTCTGCATTAATGAGCGAAATTGTATTTGGTTGACATTTGGATACAAATGTTTATCTCACATTTCTTCCTAGGTACCAGCAACTAAGGTTTCAGAGCTGAACCCTAATGCAGAAGTGTGGGGGGCTCCTGTGTTACATCTGGAAGCAAGCAGTGCAAATGTGAGTGCCGCGTGGGAGGAGGCGCGTGGCCACCACTCAGACTGTGGCCAGCAGGGTGAGTTGAGCGTGGCTGTGGTGCGCAGTGGCCCTGCTTTCAGGCCTGTGCTTTTGTTTCCACTTTACTCTGCCTTTAAGATGTTCATTCACAACTGTGTCATGGTTGACAGTGCTTAAGAAGAGCCCACAAGTCTTTTATAATCCAGTTAAAAAAGTTGGGTAACTGCTAGAGTAAGCTTTGTTTTAAGAGAAAGTTATTCTTCTTACCCTGCCCTTTTGGGGTAAACTCCTAACTATAGGATCGGATGCCAGTGGTGATGGTGACCAGAGCCATGAGAATGCAGCATTGCCAGACCCACAGGAGTCGGACCCAGCAGACATGAACGCTCTCACTCTGGGTCCTGCGGAATATGACTCTCTTCCTGAAAGTAGCGAAACAGGTAAACATGTTTTATGGATTCATTTTCACAGAGAATATGGGCTGCTTTATTTTTTGTTTTTTATTTAGCTTATTAACTTTCTCTAAACAATGTATCTTTCTTTGCTTCCTTTTAATGCTACTTTAAACTCACTCTTATATGGATGCAGAGAGGATGAGAGAGGCCCTGTTTAGGGAGGGTGCCATGGAGAATGTAAGGTCTCAAAAGATGAATCCTATTTAGTAGTGCGAAGTGTCAGTAAAAATGCAGAGATGGAACTTTAATGTTGGATTTGAGAGTAAGACAGTTTAGGTAAAGCGAGGGCGATAGAGAGGGAAGGCTGTGGTATTATAAGTCAGAGCAATTGAGGATGCATTTGCTAGTCTTAGAAGCCATTCACATTTGAACATGTTGATGAGGGAGTGAGTGACATGAAGAAAATAAGATACTTGGGGAAGACAAATTTTGCAAGAGTGTGAGACAATGACTTGGAGGAAAAGCAAACCTCAGATCAGCTGGATAGAAGCTGTTATTCTTGTGCAGGGTTGTAAGGACCTCAGTATGGAGTAGTGGCTATAAAAATGGAAAGGGAGAGAGTAGTTGGGAAGAGATGCTCAGGCCCAGTTACGCAGCGTACCACACATTACTGGAAGTGCCACTGTCAGAGCAAACCTCTGTGGGAATTTTCATGTTTTCATTTTTATTACCACAATTGTGTAATGGTCTCAGTGGTTCTTAACCAGCTCCTGTCCCCTCCCCCTCCCCACTTGCCTTGGACAGTTCGTTATCCCAGTGACCAGGGAATGCACTGGACAGGGCCAGAGAGGCCAGGCCTTGATGCTATAAGGTACAGCCATGTAGAATAATGTCATTGGCTTAAGGCTGTCAAAATCAGAAACTGTCACTTGAGAGGGAAAATGTGTAGAGGTTCTTTAACAGTTTTTTTGTTTTTTTTTTTTTTAAACTTTAGTGAAACGTATTGCTTTAATGAGTAAAATGAATCAAGTATTTATAAAGGCACAAAAATTAAGTCATGTTTGTTCCTTGTAAATATAAATTTGCTATCTTGAATTTGCTTAAAGTGTATTACCCATCTACATGAGCAGTTTTCTAAATCTGAGGCAGTAAGTGCCAGTATTCAGCAATGTAATTTGGTTACATCTCCCTTGTTCACCAATAACTGGTTAATGACTTGGGAATGGCAGAACATTGGGATAAATTGGAGTCATGTTAGAGTACATTGGAATTTAAGATGGCAAAGGAAAGGAATGCTAGTCATTAAAACAGATTTTTACAAAAGATAAAAAGGCATTATACATTGAGGGAGTGAGAATCTAATGGTGGGAAGTAAAATGGCTTCAAAATAAACAATTTAAGTTTCAGACTAAATTGAAATGGCCTAATCTTGAACTGGGGTCACAGTGTATTCAGAGGATGGAAGATAGATGAGAGTAAATAGATGTGAAGATTTGTCTTGAGGACGGAAGATGTTATCAACAGTGAAAGAGCAGGTGAAAATCCGCCCGAAGATGGGTGATAGATAACTTTACCAAAAGTGAAATAACATGTGAGAATCTGTCTGAAGATACAAGATAGGGAACATTATCAAAAGTGAAATAGCAACATGTTCAACTATATTCTGGAAAGTTTAATTTCAAAAGAAGGTGATTCTTTTTAACAGGGGTATTTAAAAATATTTTCAAAAGAAGAGAAAGAATGCCTTCTGTTCTGTCTTCCTCCTTCATCTCCTTCCCTCTACTCTTTCCCCCGTTCCTGTAAAGCGTGAGTGAGGCATAACTGATGAACAATAAACATCATATAGTTCAGGTGTACTTCAGATTTTCCATAGCTTAAAGAGAATTGAGGAAATATTCAATACATTATTGATTTATTGCCTCTTTCATTCCTCATTGCTTTGTCCACCCAGTTTGATAAGTTTTTCTGCACCTGTAAAATCCTCATCACATTTGAGATTACAAACGTCCCAGTCACCAGTAAGAGCTTCCTATGCCCTCTCCTTTCTCCAGGGAACCAGTGGTCTGCTTTCTATCAGTATACGTCAGTTTGCATTTGTAGATTTTTTTTCTCTTTAAAAAAAAAATTGAACTCCTGGGCTCAAGCTGTCCTCCTGCCTCAGACCCCAATTTGCTGGTCAGTGACGTGTGATGGAATTTGACAGTGTGTATTGTTTTTGTCTGACTTAGGTTAGGGATTTGTGTTGTAACATACATTACTCATTTTTATTGCTGAGAAGTATTTAATGGTATCGATATACCACAGTTTGTTTTTCCACTTACCTATTCATGGATTTTGGGATTGTTTTTAAAATGTAGCTTTACCAATAAATAAAATGTTTACAAAAGTGAACATTTATAAGCAAGATTTCATATAAACATATTTTCATTCCTCTTGGGTAAATACCTTGGAATGGAGTAGCTTGATCTGCTGGTAGGCATGTTTATCCTTTTAAGAAATGGTTAAGTGGTTTTCCAAAGTGGTACCATTTTCTGTTCTCAACCAGTGGTGGATTAAAGCACCACATCCTTATCAACACTTAGGGTTAGTCTTTAATTTTAACTGTTGTGAAATGTAGACAGTAGAATCCTATTGTGGCTTATAAACATAAGTTTGTGTTTCCCTAAGGACTAATGATGTCAAACATCTTTTTTAAGAAAATTACATTTTTTGACACTTCAGATTCACAGCAAATTTTAGTGGAAGGTATAGAGATCTTCCACATACTCCCCTCCGCCTAACCCCACACATGCATGGCCTCTTCCACTATCCACATCCCCACATCTGAGGCTGGGTTTGTTATAATTGATGATCCTATATTGGCACATCGTTATCACCTGGAGTCCACAGTTTACACGAAGGCTCACTCTGGGTGTTGTACATTCTGTAGGTTTGAAGAAATGTGTAATGGCATGTACCCTCCATTGTAGTATCATAGAGAGTAGTTTCCCTGCCCTAAAAATCATCTGTGTTCTGCCTACTCACCCCTCCCTCCCCTAACCCCTGGCAGCCATTGGTTTTTTCACTGTCTCCGTAGTTTTGCCTTTTCCAGAATGTCATAGGGCTGGCATCCTGCAGGATGTAGCCTTTGCAGGTTGGTTTCTTTCATTTAGTAACATACATTTAAGTTTGCTCCGTCTGTTCATGACTTGATAGCTCATTTCTTGTTAGCACTCAATAGCATTCCATTGTCTGGATATACTACAGATTATCCATTCACCCACTGAAGGACATCTTGGTTGTTTTCAGATTTTGACAATTACAAATAAAGATGCTGTTAACATTCATGTGCAGGTTTTTGTATGGATGGAAGGTTTTAACTTTCTTGGGTAAATACCCAGGAGTGTAATTGCTGGATCATATGGTCAGAGTATGTTTAGTTCTGTAGGAAACTGCCAAACTGCCTTCCAGAAGTAGAAGTTGTGGATCATATGGTAATTCTTATGTTTAACTTTTTTACCATACTGTTTTCCACTCAGGCCATACTATTTTACTTCCCCCCCCATCAGTGTGCAAGGGTTTCAGTTTTATTAAATCCTTACCAGTACTAGTTATTTTCTGATTTTTTTTTTTTTTTTTTTTTTTTTTTTTTTTTTTTTTTTTTTTTTTTTTTTTTGAGACAGAGT